GAGCCCCCCAAGCGTAAGAAGAAAGCTGCAAAGGAGCCCAAGGCACCTGTGCAGAAATCAAAGTGTGAAGAGAAGGAGACTTTAACCTGTGAGAAGTGCCCCAGGGTGTTTAACACACGCTGGTACCTGGAGAAGCACATGAACGTCACTCACAGGCGCATGCAGATCTGCGACAAATGTGGGAAGAAATTTGTTCTAGAAAGTGAGCTGTCCCTTCACCAGCAAACAGACTGTGAAAAAAATATCCAGGTAGGTTTGCTCACCTGCTTGCCAGATTTCCATACCTTCTGTCGTGCCCTGGATACAGCTAGTGGACACTTCAGAGGGGGAAATCTTTTGCGCAGACCAGGTTCTGACCAAGACCTTGTCTCTACGTATCAACACTTTGGTGTCTCCCAAAAGAAGTAAATTGCAGGGAACAGAGTGTACAACTGACATCTGCTTTCGCAGAGTTACTCTAGTAGTTAACTACGAGTTGGGGAAAACGCAAAGCTACTTTAACAAATGTCAGACTCAAGAGTAACTGGCCTGAGAACAAGCGCGTTTGCAGTGAAGTGCTTTGACAGGATAAACCCTCCTTCCTCAGGTGCTGAGCACCTGCAGCTGTCGCCAGCTCTAACGCTCAAAGTGTTCAGGGTCCTGAAACTCAGGCACAGAGTATGTCCAGGTAAGGTTTCAGAGGAGAACGGAATTATGGCGCTTCGCTGGCATTGGAATAAGAAATTTGTAAAACACCGGAGAGGCAAGCAGGTGAGAAAGAAACTAGTGAAGTCAGGATTTGAACTTGTGTTAAAATGTAACTTTTAAAAATCCTACTGAGATAATTACATACGAGTCATTTGCAGGAGTGTTCGTGTATGCATATGGCAGTGTGTAAATGCAGCAAGTAAATCTGTCCATGAGCCTGCCCCCTTCCCAATGCAAAAAGCTCAGTAAATCTCACTGATAAAATACAAAGATCTCTGGTCTTTCTCACCAGAAGATTTGCAGCTTTTCATTTCATACAACAGAAGCCTGTGTTGTAATAGAACCATTTCAAAGTTTTAAGTTGTGGAAGGAGTTTCAGGGTTTCTGATTCATCCGTGGTTTGTTCTGTGCTCATAGGCATCTATGTTCTCATGTAACTGGGAGCACTTGTTTTATCTGGCGATTCAAACACGCCTTTTTGCCTTGTTAAACCAGGCACAGCGTTGCCACCTACTTCTGAAATAATCCTACTGCCAGCATGAAGCAGCTTGAAGTGGGAGACAGTTGAAATACTTATTGCAATTCCTCTTTGCTGTAAGAGTCAAACGCAGCTCTGTATAACGCTATGCTGTTTTTCCTTATGTTTCAGCTCATAGGAGGAAGACTGAAGGAAGGAGTATAATATAAGATAATGAGCCTTGAGCATAGTTAGTGAAATGCATAAACATTTCAGTATGTCCTTGCAGGTTTTGAAATAAATACTTTGGAAGTTTAGTGTAGCAGAGAACGTTTACATGTAAATCTAAGGAATGCCCTGTCATCCAGGTGGCTCATTCACAGCATAAAATCTTTTGACTTTAAACAGCAATTCCTGAATAGTTTGTGTGTGGTATAGAATGGAGAAGCATCCTGCAATCCATGCGCCCGTGTGCTTCTGAGGGGTTACATTCCTGTGTCCAAAAGTGACAGGGAAAGAAGAAATTGTGGTTTATATCCAGAACCAGCAGAATCAGTTCCAGAAACTGCCCCGGATATTTCTAGTGCCAGAAGCACTGCTAGTCATCTTCAAGTTCTCAGTACAAGCATATATTCAGTGATTATTTTTGTCTGTCCTGACATTTGGAATGTGTTTCACAGCTGCCTGCTAATTTGTTTTTATTACACTTGGCAAAAGGAGTAAGGGGATATGAAAGTTTTACATTAATGTAGGGTTTAATATGTCAAGAGGGATGTGGAGCTTTTTCTAGGGAAAAAAATGGTTTCACTATGTAAGTGGTAATTGAACTGATAAACATGGCTGCCTCCTCTCTGTTTTCGTCTGAGTGATGGGATATATCTGGTTTTCCAGGTAATTTCTGGTTTTCATCCTTTCAAAATTAGTACTTTCACAGAATTTCTGTTGTTGTCTTAGACTCCTTTGTAGTAGCTCTCAGCATTAGTGATGTAAATTACTTGCTGCCGATCGTCAGTTAAATTGTAGACGGACTGCTTCAAGGGCTTGCTTAACCCTAAATCAAAGGATTTTTGATCATTTCTTAGCATTGCTTTATTCTCTAGGATTTTTTTCTCCCAAAGACTACAGTTTGTTCCTGATATGCTCCAAGTAGGCACTTTTAGAGGCAGAGGCTCTCCTCGGAGTCCCACGGTGAGCGGTGTACCAGAGTTTCCAGGCCTGCAGAGATTCAAGCACTGCGGAAGCAGCGTAACTTGTCTGTGCAGAGAAGCAGCAGCTCAGGTTGGCAGAAGGCAATGCATTTGCTAGTTCCGCAGTGAGCAGCACACAGCCCTTCTTGCTTTGGGGGAAGGAGGGCAATTGATGGGCAGAAAAATGGAGATGTACCAAAACTACCAAACACCCCAACAACTAACAAAAAATAGCAAGCCACAGTTCCTTCCTTTTCACTTCAGAGATGAAAATTGCTTGGTATCCTCAGACATGTGTCTGCTGTCAAGTTGCACAACTAAGATTGTTCTGGAATTTTCAAAAATTGTACAAAGATATATTTTTTTTTTTTTTAACAAATCTTTTCCTTCCTTTTCACTTCAGAGATGAAAATTGCTTGGTATCCTCAGACATGTGTCTGCTGTCAAGTTGCACAACTAAGATTGTTCTGGAATTTTCAAAAATTGTACAAAGATATTTTTTTTTTTTTTTAATCAAGTCTTTAGCAAGAAGTAAGTCTGTCGGGGAAAAAGAGATGCGTGAAAGCCTTTGGATCCTGCTCATCGCTGACTGTCTGGACATCTCACAGTTGCTGTGGGAAGAGATCAAAACACTGTTTGCGTATGGTCATTTTAGACCTATAGCACTACCAATACATATAAATGAAGAGTCAGAAGACAGAGGTGACAACTTGCTCTGCTGTAACAACTCGTACCAGACTCTCCACATGGTCAAGAGCTGCAAGATGGAAGCTGTCTCCTGCACAGAGCTAACAGGAGGAGAGCGCTCTGACTAGCTCATGGGCTGTCAGACCTGGAGTTTGAGGGGTCGCTGTGCTCCTGGGAAGGCAGGGCTGGACGTGCAGATGGGTTTAAGGCAACTTGGTGGTGTTGGCCTCTTCCGCCTCCGTTGGCTTCTTCCCACGCCAGGGATTTGGGTTCTTCCCACGCCAGCAGCGTCAGTGCCTGTGAAGTGGTCTTCTCCATGTTAGCTCCTCGAGGGCTGCATCCAGCTGCATATGCTGTTGTGGTTTGGAAAGAAGTTAGTGCAGTGGCTGTGGTGCTCTTCAGGTGGCACCGAAATGCAGTGTGTTAACATCCTCTCTAATCCTGCTTGATCTGGCTTTTCTTACTGTAATTGTTTCAGGTGTGAAACAGTAAATGTAAGCTGAAGTACAGTCTGAGACAGTATACAGCATTCTGACTTGTTTTGGGCTTCCTTTTGTCATGCGAGAGGAGGATACGTGGCTTAACTCCACAAACCTGAATTCACTGAATCTTTCTAATTTAAACTTCCTTCTATTTATCCCATTGATTCAGTGCGTTTCCTGTAATAAATCATTCAAGAAGCTCTGGTCCCTCCATGAACATATCAAGATTGTCCACGGATATGCAGAAAAGAAATTCTCTTGTGAGATTTGCGAAAAAAAGTTCTACACCATGGCCCACGTGCGGAAACATATGGTTGGTGAGTTATTGATCAGCGCTTCTGTTGGTTCTGCCTCATAATGTGCCTTTGTGTTCTTAACTCCTAATTGCTGGTTTGAGGAGAAAAATAATAAGGCAAATTCAGTTGTCCAAGCTTTATCCTTAGCAAAAAAGTTCAAGCCTGTAGTACTGGGCAGCAAGCTGAATACGTACGCATGTACTTAGGCGTATATACTTACAAGCTGTTCATGAGTAATCATTTTCCTG